CCCCCCATCACTGAGTTGCTAACAATTTTTTTCCCCCAGAGGAGAGGGGTCCCGGGAGCAGAGCTCAGGGGGGTTGGGGGAGAGGGGAACAAGGAGATGCCCGGATTTTCAGAGTCTTGGCTCCTGGAGCCAAGGTTTGCTGGGTAGAAGGGGGGCAAGGAGAATGAGGGACCCGAGATCCTAGGCTGAGGGCCCCCATTTGAAGTTAGGAATCTCACAGGCCTTCACCTCCCATTGCTTTTCTCTGCTTGAGGGAAATCTGGCTGAGGGTCAGGTTCCTGGAGCTAAGGGTCCTTTCTTTCTAGCTCCACACTGGGAGGTCTTGTGAGGGCTGTCCTTGCTGGACCTAAGGACAAGGCCTTAAGGATGCAGGACTCCCTTTCCCTGGTGGCACAGTGCAAACTTCAGCTGGGAGGCTGGAAGCTTGGGGCCTGGGGCGCAGCCCTTGGGAAAAGAATGGAAGGAATTGCTAATCCTGGCCTAGACTTGTCCACCATACAGAAACTGAGGATTCTGCAACCCTTACCTGGGGCCTGGCCTCAGAACCCAGTTCTTCAGGAGTCTGGATGCATGCCAGGCTGGATAGAGGGGGACCCCAGCAGGGAGAACCCACCTTCTGCTCTGCCTTTGACTGACAGCCCCAACCAGATTTGGAGACTTGAAATCTTGGGTAGATTCTCTCTTCACTGGCTTCCCAAGACCTTTTCTTTCTGTTTTCCTGGAAGGGAACTTCCCACAGGGCTGGCAGCTGAGAACTTGCAACTGTGGATACGCCAACCTCATTGTCTGGGAGGCCACGGTCAGCCTGAAGCCCCCCCATCCACTTCCAGATATTTGGTTCCACTGTTTAGCATCCCTGCCCGCCCCCTCCCCCAGTCACTTACTCTGGGCTACGCACACCCCGCACCACCGACCCCAGGTGTCTTATGCGGCTACACGCAGGCTGGATTTTTGTGCCCACAATCGGTTTCTCTCCCGTTTCCCTCACCATATTTGGGGTTCAGAGGAGCCACGGACTGGCGGCCACAAGGGCCTAATGGTCAACTGTTAGGCTAGTTCAGGAAGTCCTGGTTTCCTTGAGGACAAGCAACTCTCAGCCCTTCTGTTGCTCTCAGTTCACCCCAGACCTACCGACCTACCACGCAAAGACGGTAGGGCCTGTGGGGAGAGGAGCGAAGAGCCTGGCAGGCCAGCGAAGGGCTGCTGGGTCCAACAAGGCAGGAAAAGGGACATGCGTTTCTCTTCTGCTCTCCTACAGCGGACACTTCCGTCCTTCTCCTCTTGCTTCTTTATACGCGGCATAAAACAGTCTCCCTATCAACTTCCATATCCAGACAAGTAATATTCTTGCCCAGGCCCCTGCACATCCAGGTCACACCAGGAAAGTATCACTCCCAGTCCTGACCCCTAATCACACTTTGGCCTAGAGCTGAGTAAGACCAACAGGAAGTTCGGGGAAGTGCTGGTAAATTCGCACAGGCAGCCCGAAATCCGCAACTCTGAAAGTCCCGAGTCTAGACCCCTCTGTCCTTCTGAAGACCACCAGGCCCTGCCTGCTGTGCTCCCCCTTTCACGGGGTCCAGGTCCACCGTCTTGCCTTGCCCCCCAAGTTCGCTGCTTCTCCACTCTGTTCACAAGCGACCAGGGAGTTAGTTGACAACTTTCCCGATCGCTTTGCCCGCTTTGGACAAAGTTCTGACCTCCTGGTCTCCCGGAAGACCTGAGCGCTGGCGGGGTCAGACAAGGCTGCGGCTGGGCCGTGGCAGGGACCGGGCACCCGGCTTAGGCCTCTCCTGGGGGCGAGCACACGCCCGGCGACCCCCTCCCTCGAGTCCCGGGGAGCCGGCGCCGAAGTTCTACTTACTCGTACCTTTCTTTGGCCTCGGCTGCCCGGTCGCGCTGCCGCCGGTTCTTAAACCAGTTGCTGACCTGCGTGGTGGTGAGGCCCGTGGCCTCCGCCAGCTCGCGCTTCTCGCGCGGTGAGGGGTAGGGGTTATGCGCGTACCACTCGCGCAGCACGCTGCGACTCTTTTCCTTGAAGCAGTAGCTGGTCTCCTCGCCGTCCCAGATGGAGCGCGGCAGCGGAAACTTGCGGCGCACGCGGTATTTGCCCACAGCGCCCAGGGGCCGGCCGCGCAGCTTCTCCGCCTCGATGTAGTGCGCTTTGAGCCACAGCTGCTGCAGCTTGGCGTGGTTGTGCGGCGAGAACTGGTGGCTCTCCAGGATCTTGTAGAGCTCCCGGAAGTTGCCGCGGTGGAAGGCCACCACCGCCTTGGCTTTGAGCACGCTTTCATTCTTGTGGAGGTGCTCGCAGGCGGGCAGCGACCACAGGAAGCGGCCCAGCCGCTCGATGTTGCCGCCCTGCTGCAGCACCTCGCACACGCACGCCACTTGCTCCTGCGTGAAGCCGAAGGTGGGCAGCATGGACATGGTGCCGGCTGTGCCCCCGCCCGCCCGCGCGCGCCCTCACCGCGCGGCGCCGTCCCGCATGGGCGCCTCCCCGCCGGGCCG